AAAAAAAAAAAAAAAAAAAACCCAAAAAAACAACAAAAAATAAACTTTACTTCATCTAAGTATCATTCATTTACTTATTAAAGAACAGTCATCTACAGGTAGGTTAATAAATATATCAGTACTCCTCATTGATTTATATGCCTTATTTTTACTAAAATAACTGTTGAGCAGTTAATACCAAAGTATTCAAGAAATTCCTAATTTCTATTTTGTAGAAATTATTTTGTAAAATGTTTACATTATATTATTTTTATAAAATGTCAGTTTTCATTACAACCTCCTGTACAATCTCCCCTCACCAAAGTCAAAAAAAAAAAAAAGAGCTTATCTAAAAGAATATAAAAATATACTTACTTCCAGATTTACAAACAAGTGGAGTTATTTCATCTAGTGGGTGCAGCATGCTGAACATAGTGGGTAAAGGTTCTCTAGCAATAAACAAATAAATAATCAATTAATTACCAATACAATATGAATATGTCTCTGCACATATTTTGCACTTTTCTTGCAAAGAAGTATCTTCTCCAGATTACACAAGCAACTAGAAACCTACCATCTCAAAATGTAATCTTCTAAACTTTGTACATAATATTGTTCACATTATCTTCTATTTTACTCCTAGAAATCTCTCTCCTTAGAGTCATTCTATCAATGCACGGACAAAGGGAAATCAATATAGCGCAGGGAATTTCTGCACACAGTAGTCATTACAATACAGAACTGATGGAGTAATGTGCACAAAGCAGTCTTTTTTTATTGATCTCTCTTACTGGCAGTGTGTCTTTGGCAGCTAAGAAAGAAATTTATTCTCCCATACCTGCTGACAAAGAAGTGCACTTTTAAAAAAAGGAAGAAAAAAAACTGCTTCAAGTAAATTAAAAGCCTATTTTTTTCCTTTTTCTATTTCTTTTTTTTGAGACAGAGTCTCACTCTGTTGCCCAGGCTAGAGTGCAGAGGCACAATCTCTGCTCACTTCAACTTCCACCTCCCAATTTCAAGCGATTCTCCTGTCTCAACCTCCAAAATAACTGAGATTACAGGCACACACCACTATTCCTGGCTAGTCTTTCCGTATTTTTAATAGAGTCAGGGTTTCACCATGTTGGCCACACTGGTCTCGAACTCTGACCTCAGGTGATCCACTCACCTTGGCCTCCCAAAGTGCTGGGATTACAGGCGTGAGCCACCATACCCTGCCAAAAGCCTACAGTTTTTTAAGGAACTTTATTTCTTTTTTTTTTTTTTTTTTAAAGAAAGACAGGGTTTCACCATATTGGTCAGGCTGGTCTTGAACTCCCGGCCTCAGGTGATCCGCCCACCTTGGCCTCCAAAGTGCTTGGATTACAGGCAGGAGCCACTACACCCGGCTAGGAACTTTATTTGTTAATAAGTTCTGATAACCCACTACCATCGGACCAGCCAGTAATGATTTTTTTTGGAGTGAAGACAGGCTTTCTTTCCAAGCAGAAAGAGATTAAAATCTGTAAGTAATTTATTTAAGACTTAGCAAGTGTTTGCCTCTTGCACTACAACATGAAATGTATGTTGCTGCCCTTCAATGGGTTCACAATTCACAGGGAGACAAGATAAACACAACACTAATAAACATCTACCATTTTTTATTGCATACCTATACATACTAGGCCCTGTGTCAAAGCCAATATACATTTAGCTAGCTTAATCTTTGCGTAAGTCCTAAAAGATAAATGATAACATTCCAGTAATAGGTAAGGAAACTATAGATAAGAAAGCAATAATGATCTGCTCAAAGCGCCACATTGAGAAAATGGCAGCACTAAGAATTGAATCTTGTTATTTTAAGCTACTTATTTGCATATTCAATTTTACCACTTGGACTGGAAAAAAGCTAATTAAGTGCCAAGTATACAGAGCACATGAGTGTACATATGGGCTGAGTATCCCTTATCTGAAATACTTGGGACTAGAAGTATTTTGGGTTTCAGATTTCTTCAGACTTTGGATTATTTGTTTTACACAAACAATTGAGAAACCCTAATTCTTTTGGGAGTACAAGTGGCTTTTGGTTACACAGAATTATATACTGGTGAATTCTGAGATTGTAGTGTACCTGTCACCCAAGTAGTGTATGTTATATGGAAAATGCAGTTTTTTTAATCCCACACCTTCTTTCCACCCTGCCCCTTCTGAGCCTGCAAAGTCCATTAAAACACTCTGTATGCCTTTGCATACTCCTCGATCTCATTTCTTTTTTTGTTTTGTTTTTTGAGACTGAGTCTTTGTTGGAGTGCACTGGCACAATCTCAGCTCACTGAAACCTCCACCTCCCAGGTTCAAGCAATTCTCCTGCCTCAGCCTCCTGAGTAGCAGGATTACAGGTGCGCGCCACCACACTCAGCTAATTTTTGTATTTTGAGCAGAGATGGGGTTTCACCATGTTGGTCAGGCTGGTCTTGAACTCCTGAAGTTGTGATCAACCTGCCTTGGTCTCCCAAAGTACTGGGATTTTAGGCGTGAGCTATCGCGTCCAGCCTGGTTTTTAATTGTTTATGTGATGTGTCATATTTATTGACTTGTATATATCTGAGGTGGGCGGATCACCTGAGGTCAGGAGTTCAAGACTAGCCTGGCCAACATGGTGAAACCCTGTCTTTTAAAAAGAAAAAAAGAAATTTATTTATTTATTGATTGATTGATTGATTGATTGAGACGGAGTTTCACTCATGTTACCCAGGCTGGAGTGCAATGGCGCGATCTCGGCTCACCGCAACCTCCGCCTCCTGGGTTCAGGCAATTCTCCTGCCTCAGCCTCCTGAGTAGCTGGGATTACAGGCACGCGCCACCATGCCCAGCTAATTTTTTGTATTTTTAGTAGAGACGGGGTTTCACCATGTCGACCAGGATGGTCTCGATCTCTTGACCTCGTGATCCACCCGCCTTGGCCTCCCAAAGTGCTGGGATTACAGGCTTGAGCCACCGCGCCCGGCCGAAAGAAAGAAATTAAATTTTAAATTAAAAAAAAAAAAGGCTTGTATATGTTAGACCATCACTCCATCCCTGGGATGAAACCCACTTGATCATGATATATTATCTTTTTGATAAGAGTAACCACAAGTTGAGAATCCGAAACCTGAAATATTCCAATAAGCATTTCCTTTGAGTGTCATGCTAGAGCTCAAAAACTTGCAGATTTTTGAGAATTTCAGATTTTTGGATCAGGGATATTCAACTTGTACTGAGACGAGAGGCATATATCTATGCTGTTAGCATGAAAATTATCACCATCTCAAACTTTTAGGTAAACCTCAGAATGATCACACACACAAAACCCAAGTAATAATATTCTGAAGTGAGTAAAATGAATACCTCGGTGAACCTGGAGGTACCTCATGTGAAGAAGTGCTTCGTTCAAACAACAATCCATATTTAGTGGGCCAAACGTTTGCAACCTTTCAGGTAAAAGAGTGGAAAAAGACAGAAGTAAGAGAACCTACCCCTTTATAAACTGTTTTAAAGAAACATTACAGAATGTTTTACTTTCCAATTTAGTAATAGCTTTACAAAATCAAATAATCATTAAGTACAGAATTTTTTAAAAAGTAATTCAAATAAGCAACTCTAAGATAATATCAAATCTAATAAAGTGGAGTTGTTCAATGTGAAATTCCTGCCACTGGCCAGTATCAGTAACAAAGTGACAATGTGTTAATGATAGCACTAGGCATTTAAAAATATGATGAGCAACAAAAAAAGACTAGTATTATTCAGATGCCTTATTTAATATAACCAAAAGTTCTTACATATCATTTAAACCAACAAAAGCATACCACAAAAGACTTCCTTATTTGTTTATTTATTTATTTTTAGAACAGAGTCTCACTCTGTTGCCCAGGCTGGAGTGCAGTAGCGTGATCTCAGTTCACTGCAACCTCCGCCTCCCAGGTTCAAGCAATTCCCTGCCTCAGCCTCCCAAGTAGTTGGGATTACAGGTGAGTGTCACTGCACCCAGCTAATTTTTGTGTTTTTAGTAGAGACAGGGTTTCACCATCTTTGCCAGGCTGATCTTGAACTCCTGACCTCGTGATCCACCCATCTCGGCCTCCGAAAGTGCGGGGATTACAGGCGTGAGCCACCGTGCCTGGCCAAGACTTCTTAATTCACTGCATTATACAACTTATTTTTTCAATGAGGTATGGAAAGTGGTAAACCACTAAAGTTGCCAAAATTTAGTTATTTTATTTGAGTAAAAATAACATTTTTTATTACAAGACATGAGACAAAACATAACTCTAAAACCAATTAATTCAAAAATATTCTCCAACAAAAGCCCCCCAGAATTTGAAACACTTGTTTACCTGAAATGGTAAGGAAGCTATGTAATCCTTTCCTTCTATGCTATGCATATTAATACATGAGCTTTGCAATATACATATGCATTTTTCTATTTCATGGCTACCTGGAAAAAAAAGGGTACAATAAGACTCACAAGTTTTTTTGCCCAAAGGAGTTCAATCTTAACAGCACAAATTATTTAATGCACAATATAAAGATTCTTAAGGTAAACCACTATTACTAGTGGCTACTTCTTTTGAATGAAAAATACAATGAGATAAACATTTGGAATCATCATAAGAAAAATAAAATTTCAAAAAGAAACTTACTGTAGGCCTTTTCAGACTTATCCTGTGATATAATGAAGTCACACCACAATGCCTAAAATCAAAACAAAATGCTTACCTAAGAAAATTATATGTAAATAATCATCTAATAACTAATGGCATCTAAATAATAATAATAATAGCATCTACTTAATAACTTTGCCTCCTCAGCTCAATATTTACAATCATGGAAACAAAAAAAATGAGAAAAAATAAGAGTAATAAATGATAAATTTAAGAAAAACAAAACATGTTTAAAATTAAATTTTATGAAAAGATCCATAAGAATGATAATTTTAAATTAGAAAAATAAATTTTACAAAAAGAGAAGAATCAAAAAACCTACTAGATAGAAACCTTGCAGCAAAAATTCAAATAGTGGCTCAAACCATACTAAATCCTATATCCTATACAAAACAAAAGATTATTCAAATTTTATAATCTCTAGATTAATTAATTGATCTTATTCTTAGACTCTCTCTAGAATGGCTTTAGAAAAAGTATTTAGAAAAACTAACTCTTCCCTTTCTTAAAAGCCCATCTTACAAAATATAAACTAGAAAAAGCTATTAAACTTTAACTGACATACTTGACAATCACTTATTAGATTATTTAATAGCATTTTATGTTTTTGTTAACTGTGGTCAAATATACATAATATGAAAATTACCATTTTAACAATTTTTAAGTAGACATTTCAGTGGCATTAACAACATTAAATTTACGAGCTTAGTACAATTTGTGAGCTTGCACAATACTGTACACTTCTAGAAATTTTTCCTCATCTAAAACAGAAACTCTGTGTCAATTAAACAATAACTCCCCATTTCCCCCTCCCCTGAGCCCTGGTAACCTTTTTTCCACTTTCCCTATGAATGTGCCTGTGCTAGGTATCTCATATAAATGAAACTGTACAACACTTGTCCTTTTGTATTTGTTTTATTTCACTTAACATAATGTTTTCAAGGTTGATCCATGATACGGCATGTATCACAACTTTGTCACTTTTTAAAGCTAAACAATATTCCACTGTTTGCATGTACCACATTTGTTTACCCATTCATCTGTCAATGGACACAGGTTGCCCTTACCTTTTGGCTATCATAAATAATGCCGCAGTAAACACTGGTGTACAAGTATCTATGAGTCCCTGTTCTCAGTTCAATTGTGCATATACCTAGAAGTGGAACTGCTGGATTGTAATGGTAATTCCATGTATAACTTTTCTTTTAAGAGACGGGGTCTCACTCTGTCACCCAAACGGCAGTGCACGGCATGATTCTAGCTCACAGTAGCCTAGAACTCCTGGGCTCACGTGACCCTCCTGCCTTGGTCTCCCGAACAGCTGGGAGTACAGGCATGCACTACCATGCCTGGCTATATGTACAACTTTTTGAGAAATCAGCAAACTTTTCCACAGCAGACTTGTTACATTCCCACCAGCAATGCACAGGAGTTCCAATTTCTGGACATCCTCACCAATATTTGTTATGTTTCTTGAATAAGAGCCAACCTAGTGATGTAAAGTGGTATCTCATTGTGGTTGTAATTTGCATTTGCCTAATGATTAGCAAAGTTGCACATCTTTATGCGCTTATTGACCATGTGTACATCTTCCTTAGAAAAATGTCTGTTTAAGTCCTTCTGCCCATTAGTTTGTTTTGTTGTTCAGTTGTAGGAGATTTTAATGATTAAGAAATGAAAATTCATGAAGAAAACAATGCACTAGGGCCATGCTCCAACCTGAAATGTCCAAAATCTACGATGCACCTGTTACAGTCTTAACTTCCTTTCATGAAATCCCATCCTCTCAGCCTCTACAAGTAAATATTTTATCATCTCTTTTATCCCTGATACCTAAAAGATCACTAACCCCTTCCATAACTCCCTCTGCTTTATCAGCTCTTCTTTGGCAAAGCACCAATCTTTTATCTGAACAATCACAAAATAGTGCCCCTGACAAGTCTCCCTACTCTCCAGTCAATCCCATATACATATATATATATATATACACATACATATATATATATATACATATATATACACACACATATATATATATACATATATATACACACACATATATATATATATACACATATATATATATAGCTAAGAAAGCAATCTCTTCTCAAAACACAAAATTGATCACTTTCATTTTAAAATCCTTGGCAGGCTCCCTTCAGCATACAGTTTAAAATCCAAATTCCTTGGTTTATATACAAGGCCCTTTAGTCTCTATACTGCCAGCATTCACTTGCATCTCTCCACACCCACCCTTTGTGTACAGCCCCAAGTTTTAAAAAAGTCATCTTTTTCCATACTTCTTTTTGCTGCGATTTCCTCTGCCTAGAATGCCCTTCTGCCACCATTTTATAATACAAATAGCATCTTCTTTGAAAAACCCTCCCTTTGGTGCTCAGTCCTTTTGGCTCTCATCACTCTGTGGACATGCAGTTATTATACAGCATTCAGAATACAGTATTTCAGTTGATCTGTTTGTTCTCCTTTCTAGGTTATGAGTCCTTCAGTGGTAGAAACTACATTCACCTTTGTAGTCCCAGCATAATGTCTGAAACAGAGTAAGACTAAATATTTGCAGAAGGCCAGGCACAGTGGCTCATGCCTGCAATCCCAACACTTTGGGAGGCCAAGGCAGGAGGATTGCTAAAGCCCAGGAGTTCCAGACTAGCCTGGACAACATAGTGACACCCCATCTCTGTTAAAAAATAAAAATAAAAAATAAATGAAAAAAACAACCCCCCCAAAAAAAAATTACTTGCAGGATAAGTAAAAGAATGAACAACTAAAATCTGATTCACACATACCTGGTATTATTTGATAAACAAAATATAAAATTATCTTCCTTTATATTAGCAAGAAGGTTAAAAACAATATATTTTCCAGATCAAAAGACTGAAATTCCAAATCTTATGATTACACTTACACGTGATCTTAAGATAAAGGAGATAATACATCTAACTGCACTTCCACAGAATCTAGTAAATAGGCAATTGTTCCTTGGAGAAATTAAGATGAAAATATAGAAGTAAGGCTGGGCGCGGTGGCTCACGCCTATAATCCTAGCACTTTGGGAGGCCGAGGTGGGTGAATCACCTGAGGTCAGGAGTTCAAGACCAGCCTGCTCATCATGGTGAAACCTCATCTTAAAAAAAAATTTTTTAATTAAAAAGAAAAAAAAAGAAAATATAGAAGTAAAGAACTACTCGGATATCATCAAATGCACTTTTCACATCTATACTAACTATATGAATTATATGGGAAAAAATTATCATCAAAAATATAATTGGCTTCAACACTCCTGGACACAAATGCTTTTACGCATGTCCTCAAATGTTGGAATGATGATTCAATTTCTCCTTCCCAATAAATAGTTAGAATACAATGCTCATCAGGAAATAGTTAATGGCAGATGGGAGGAATGGGAGGAAGCAGTGACCAGGTACAAAGATTTCAGCATTTACAAATATGAAATTTAACATTAGTCAAAGCTTCCAAAACCTCTTGCCAAACCTAATTCAACTACTATAAATGTATTCGTTTTTCCTCCAACTTTGTGTTATAAAAATTTTCAGTAAAAGTTGAAACAATGCAGCGAACATATTTCACCTAAATCCAATAATCATGAAAATTTTGCCATATTTGTTTATGTGTGTGTATTTGTGTACTTATGTGATTTTTGGAAGGGGAATGCTATCTGAAAATAAATTGCACATGCATCATGACATTTCATCCCTAAATACTTGATCATGCCTTTTCTAAAAATAAAGATGTTCTCCTATAAAACCATAAAACCATCATCCCTAAGAAAAAAACTACTTCTCTAATAACAGCTTCTAGCCAGTAATTTTCAACTTTCCCAAATTTTCCCCAAAAATATCTTTTTAGCTAGTTTTCTAGAACCAGGATTCAATCAAAGTTCATTTAACAAGGTTCAAAAAAATACTGGATTTGGTGATGTCTCTTTAGTCTCTTTCAATGTAGAACAATCCCCACCTTTTTTTCCTTCTTCATTACTTTTTAAAAGAAACCAGAATGTAGACTATAAACTTTTTATAATAGAAAATTTCAAATAAATACAAAGTAAACAGAATAGGATAATGAATCCCCATAAGCCAGCTTTAATAATTATTAAGCTTTAGCCATTCTCATCTCATCTACTTCCTTATCTCATGGTATTTAAAAATGTAATCCTCTAGTACCTATATTTCCTATAAACTGCAAGCTAGGTGTAAATATTCGTACTTCTGAGAAGAAAACTTAGTAGATAATATCATGTACTTCATTCCACATTATAGCTAGAAGCACATACTATTTCTCCATGTCACTATTAATTATCCTAAGTTCAATCACTTGATTGAGGTGGAGACTGACAAATAACCCCAAAGTAGAGGTACATTTGTTCCTCCACATTTACCAAGTAATCCATAGGGTGATATGTTGGTGCCATGGTAATATTCTTTCAACCAACAGTGTCAGTATCTATTTACAACCCTTGTTTGAATCAATTATTGCCCTGGAGGTTATAAAATGGTAATATTCTAATTCTAAAACTCCTTTTACATTTATTAGCTAGCATTCTTCTATAAGAGTTTTTCTTCATCAAATGGAGATGAACGGCATATCTTCCTGAAAAAATACGGCAAACGCTTAATTCTTTCCTTTTCATTATAACTTTCAGAACAGTTAGTTATAATAGCCAACCGCAATGGTTGCAAATCAGATTTTTTTTCTTTCTCTCTACCACTACAAACCCCATGATTTTTATTTATTCAAATCTTTGCAATCAATTATAGTAATCGTGTTAAAATATTTACGTACCCTTAATGTCTTACACGTTTTTGCTAGCAATAACAAATTGAATTACTTAAGGACAGAGTGTTTAAAGATTATTAAAGTGACAAAGGATAATGTAAAAAAAGTGATGATATATAAAATAAAAAGGAAATTTTGATTTTCCTGCCATTAACTTCATGTTATATTATCTCATGTTACCATGTACACCCAGCTGCCGAGATTATTATGCTGTTTTTATCATTTCTGTTAAATTTTAAAACAAAAACTTTTTTAAAATTGCATTTAATAGTCAATAAAATCCTAAAATTCAAATCAACTCACCTGCTGAACAGGACTGTCAACTGTAAACGCTTTATAAACTGCCAATGCCTGGCTTTTACTTCCTTTGCTCCATATCACCATATTTCCAGCAACATAGAGTTCCTCATCATAGTCCACATCTTCTCCAATTTCACTTACTCCTTTCCTTAACTGCCAGCTTTCCTTAAAAATTAACACATGTAAGACATATTGAAGCACTCTTTTTTTGTTTTCCAAAAATCTGGAACAAAATTTATTTGCCTGTGGAGTAAGACTCAATTCAAGCACAACTTCTAGAAGGTTTGGTATACTCATTAACAGAGGATGTGGATATATGCATTACATTACAGAATTTCCTGAATAAGAATTTACTCAATAATTCCCTATATTAAATGTTTTATATTATTCCTCTATGTAAGTCTGTCAAAAACATAAACAAACAAAAAGTATACCTTCTCTATAGATCCAAAAATCAAATCACATGCTTGGGAGACTAAAAGGACATATTAAGAATATGAGGTAGAGTAGACTAAGAACAGTGAGGTGCACATGGGAATCACTCGGGGAGTTTATGCACAATGCAGACTTCCTGCTTCGCAGCCACGTGTATCTGCACCTTCTTTTCCTTTGTGCCACCCACCAAAATGAATAGAAAAAAGAGAAGTTTCCATTTGTAACAACACAGACTTTCCCTCCGTGAGATTTTGGTATCCCAAAGGGGTGTGAAAATGGAATAAGGCAGAAGGCATTCATTTTCTGACACACACTTATATCTCATTCCCCTACTTAAGAACTATGACTCGTCTGTAATTCCAACACCTTGGGAGACTGAGGCGGGCAGATCTCCTGAGGTCAGGAGTCCGAGACCACCTGATGAACATGGAGAAATCCTGCCTCTACTAAAAAAATTACAAAATTAGCTGGGTGTGCTGGCACATGCCTATAATCCCAGTTACTTGGGAAACTGAGGCAGGAGAATCGCTTGAACCTGGGAGGCAGAGGTTGCGATAAGCCAAGATCATGCCATTGCACTCAAACCTGGCAACAAGAGCAAAACTCCACCTCAAAAAAAAAAAAGAACTATGACTCTACCTACTTTCATGGCATTTCTTCTCTCCTTTAGAAACATGAAAATCTTCTGCAGCAGGAACTGTTTCTAATCTCTACCATTTAATCATTAAATAACAGGAAATCTGGTTCCCATATACTAAGTGAAAAAAAAAAGTTTAAAATTGACTACAATCATACTGCTGAACCTGACTCTCATTACAAAACCACAAGTTATACAGGGTATCTAAAGAAGTGGCTATGACAATGTAATAAAGTCATTATTTTCAACACTTATTGAAATTACCACACCTTAACTCTACCCTAGAGGTGGCATCAAACTCATCTCTCAGTTGCATCTCAGTAGCCTTAAATTACAAGTAGATCATATCACTCTACATTTCAAAAATTCAATGGGAAACTCAATGGAACCTTCTGTTTTTCATGGATTGTAACCTCCTGAAGGGATCCCACCAAGCCAGCAGCACCATCAGAAGACCATAATTCAGAGGCTGGCTGCAGCTGGCGAAGTTGAAGGTTCAAAGCATTAGGGTGGTGCTTGCAGTGGTCTCGACCAAAAGGAACAAATTCCTGCAAATCCCTGGCTGCAATCATCGTTGCCCTTTCTTCATAGAAGTTCGACATGGGTTCCAAATATCAACATTATTTCTGTATGAATTCAAACACATTCTGGTCAGCTTCAAGACTCAAAACTAGAATAAAAATACCATAAACACATAAGTCATTAATCCTTACATGAATGTCAAATAATTACATCATGTTGGTAAGTAGTCATAACATCAAAGGGCATTCTAGATCTGATTCTTTCAAGCAATTACATTTATCACATTTTAGTCAGACTGACAGTTACCATTACAGGAAACCACTGAGTTGCAACAACTACTTGTGTCCCACACCACCTATCTCATATTTCCTACTACTATACACTAATTTTTCCATACTTTATATATGAAGTATTTAGACAAGTTGTACTCTACAGTACAGTTTATTACTACAAAAATGTGAACTGTTAAAGCTTTCACCACAAGGTTAGGAAGCAGCCAGGCTTTATACAAAAGTACAGACAAGCATAATTTGGTTGCCCTTTGACCCACTTTCCTGTACCTGCTTTTATACCATGTTTCTATACATAGCATTTTTAATGTTAGGAGTCTAAGACTTTTGTTTTGAAATGATGCAGGCTAAAGACCCCATCAAGGAACTACATCAGCATGAGAATGTGGTTTATCTCTCCATCAGGACTTCATCCTTCATTCTCCGATCAATCAATACCTTAGCCCACTAACCTCCAAACTCTTTAAAACCTCTAGACCTTAACTCTTTGGGGAGACAGACTTGCAGTTTCCTCAGTCTTCTAGTTTGGTGGCTCTGCAAGTAAAACACTTTATCTGCTGCAAACCCCACTGTTTCCATATATTGACTTGCTGCTCACAGGGCAAGAGAGCTAAATGGCCACACAAACACCCAAAGCCTACGTAGTTCCTATGCAGCTCCTCTAAGGTGACAAAGTTATTTTGCTGTGAATTAAATGTTACTCTTAGCTGGCCACCGTGGCTCACGCCTGTAATCCCAACACTCTGAGAGGCAGAGGCGGGCAGATCACTTGAGGTCAGGAGTTCGAGACAAGCCTGGTCAACATGGAGAAACCCATCTCTAGTAAAAATACAAAAAAAAAAAAAAAAATTAGCTGGGCATGGTAGTGGGCGCCTGTAATCCCAGCTACTCGCGAGGCTGTAGCACAATAATAGCTTTGGGAGGTGGAGGATGCAGTATTGAGAAGACTTGAACTTGAAACACAACTACAAAGTGCCTTACAAAACTTACAAGAAAACAAAATTCAGCTGGTCTTCCTATACTTTATTCAACAGGATAACCAACATCAACAAACTTTTGATTTTATAAAACTTTAGTTCTGCAATTTTATAATGTTATTTTCTTTTTGTTATTTTTTGTTTTTGTTTTTGTTTTTAAAGACGGGGTTTCACCATGTTGGTCAGGCTGGTCTTGAACTCCCGACCTCAGGTGATCCACCCGCGTTGGCCTCCAAAGTGTTTGGATTACAGGCGTGAGCCACCACGCCCGGCCTATAATGTTATTTTCTTATAACTTTGAAAGAAAACTCTAAAATTGTTTTTTTGTTTGTTTGTTTGTTTGTTTTTTGAGACGGAGTTTCACTCGTTACCCAGGCTGGAGTGCAATGGCGCGATCTCGGCTCACCGCAACCTCCGCCTCCTGGGTTCAGGCAATTCTCCTGCCTCAACCTCCTCAGTAGCTGGGATTACAGGCACGCGCCACCATGCCCAGCTAATGTTTTGTATTTTTAGTAGAGACGGGGTTTCACCATGTTGACCAGGATGGTCTCGATCTCTTGACCTCGTGATCCACCCGCCTCGGCCTCCCAAAGTGCTGGGATTACAGGCTTGAGCCACCGCGCCAGGCTGAAATCTATAAAATTGTTAAAAATTTATCATTTTGTACTGATTAAGGCCACATATTTAATACTTTCACAATAACCTAAACGTTTAGAAATATTTTTACTTGTTAGGGGCAACATAAACAGCTACACATAAAAATACCATTAAATCCATATGCTATAAATAAAAATACCAGCAATGATTCCTACAGACAAACACTACCTTGCCAAAAAAAAAAAGGGGGGAACTCAAATGCACACCAACCGGAGCTTGCGTTAAGTCTTCACAATAAGGAAGAACTTCCCGCAGCCGTTCTAGGGGACGGTGAAAACAACAGGCTACAAGCCCTGGGCTCAGAAAACCAGCTCAAAGAGGCTGGAGGCCAATTTAGAAGCCGAGGTTGCACACTGGATGCAGCGCGCAGTTCGGGTAAGAGGTTTGCCAGCAGTGAGTAGGAGCACCCCAGCCCGCAGGCCCGGAACCCCCTCAGCCCCGGGGCACGCTCAGGGCCCTCCCCAGGTTCCTAGTCCCCCAGTCTCCCAGCCCTAAGGCCACCAGGGGCGGATCGGCCTCGGGCCAGGTGCTAGAGTCACGCGGCGTGCGACAGTTCACCGAAGTGCAGCGGATCCGGGCCCGCACCTGTGTAACTCGGGACGCGTCAGGCGCAGCGAGACCCGGCTGCTCCCCGGTGGTGCAGGGGCCGAGGAGGCCCGAGGGCAGCGGCGGGGTCCGTCACGGTGACTCCTCGACCGTGGCAGCTTCTCATCCCCTCTCCCTCCCCTTTTCTGGAGGAGGAATGGGCAACAGCAGCAGGTACGAGTTCTAATGGCAGGCAGGCGTGCGAGACGTTCAAATGCACGCGTCCATCTTGACTTTCCCGTCCGGCCTCGCGCCGGGGCGGGGCATCGCGGTAGGCGCGCGGTGGCCTAGCAGTCCCTGCGCCTGCGCAGCTGCGGGAAGACGGCGGCCGGGCAGAACTTGTGGACTCTTTCCACCTTGTGTGCGACTGATCCGATCCCCAAAGCAGGATTGTGTCTGCCAGAGTCCATACAGTGAAACGATTCTCCTGCCGTCCAAGTTCTCTTCAGATCATGTCACTAGGGACCTAAACTGCCTCCTTGATCTCAGGTTTTTTTCTGTCTGGTTTCGCTTCCGCCTCTTGACCCCATGTGAAGGTAGGCACATCCAGGCAGAGGGTGGGGAGCAGAGGTTGCTGATTTTCTCTACGTGCAGTGCTCTGTGCTCTTATGCAGTCCATACTCTTCGAAGAGTCGATGAACGGTATGAAGGTCCTCATAGAAACATTGTCTGCAATTCCCAGATTCAGAGACACTTCTTGAGGTGATTCAAAGACCCAGGTTAAGAACCGCAGCGGCCACTCGTGCCTGTAATCCCAGCGCTTTGGGAGGCGAGGCAGGAGGATCGCTGGAGCCTAAGAGTTTGAAACCAGCCTGGGCAATATAGCGAGACACTGTCTCCACAAAAGAAAAATTTTTAAATTAGCCTGGCGTGGTGGCGCGCACCTGTAGTCCCAGCTGCCTGGGAGGCTGGAGGATCACTTGAGCCAGAAGTTCGAGGCTGCAGTGAGCTATGATCGCACCACTGAACTATGATCGCACCACTGAACTCTAGCCTGGGAAACAGAGCAAGATTT